GGCCTTCTGCATAATTTAGAAGAGCCTCAAAATGGTTAGTTCCTCATTTAGGCCACCTATAAATCTGTTGAACTAGGTGGCCCCTAATGCTATAGGTCTTGCCTATGCCCAGGAGAGACACTGAGTCCTCCATATCACATCTACTTACTTGTGTGGTACCCACAAGTGCCTCTCTGTGTTCCCACTTGCACCAGAACATGCCATTTGCCTTATTTAAGGCATGCAACAAGCACACTATATTTTGAATATGTAATCTGTAATGTGTAATATCTAACCCAGTGTTCATTCTCCAGATCTTTGTAACCTGGATAATTTAAACCACCCATGTAACTAATGTTTCACTGATGATAACCTGATTTAACTGAGCGTTAAAAGTTAAAATGTACATGCAACTGTCTTTGTGCTTCTTTGTCTAAGCAGCTAAATGTAGTAGCCATCCCTGCCATTTAAATTCTAGACTAGAGGCAGTGGAAAATCCTCTGATAAGACTGAGAATAGTGAGTGACATTTTCTAAAATGGGTTTGGTTTTTTTAAAATTCAGATCCCACTACAGTGCAATCCATATCACAGAACAATTATTGCCATTTTCCTATTTGTGCCTGATCTGGAATTTGCTCTAAACATGCCCAAGGTCGAATGAGAATGGAGGACATTATTGTATTTAATTATTTCATGAGAATAAATAAGGATTCCAGCAACAGCTTAGAGGTAATGTAACAGTAGAACAATTAGAGTTTCTGAGCTACTGCACAAACATACAAATGCAAGATCATTACAATAAGTACATTGAATATTTTGACTTATTTTATTTTAATGAGCATAACTATCCTAAGGTTATAGCGATTGGTAAGAATAAAGGAAACATGACAACTATCAAACATATGAAATAATAGCCAATTTGTCAAAGCAGTATCAGTTCAATAGAGATGTCTTTTTGGTATAATGTTAATGAGCTTTATATTTTTTACATTTCTCTTGTTCTATTTGCTGCTTGCTTCTTTTCTTGTTGAGTCATGTGCTGGAGGTATGGTCTGAACACAGGTTGGGAGCCGGTTACTGCTGAGGTCTAAGCCTGGCTTTGCTTTGATATTGAATCACTGTATGTTCTTGGGCAAGTTGTTATCTCGTTCCTCCTTCTACACCCCCACTCTGTAAAACAGGAATAATAATCTGCTTCCTCAGGGAAGAGGTGTGAGAAATAATTAGCTAACATTTGTAAAGTGCTTTGACTATGAAATGTTATTATTGCCACCAAGAATTATTACCATCATTCATTATTGTTAGTGCATGTCATCTCTGGACAAACTGACTCTGTTTTATTAGACCTACCAGAAGTGGCAAGAAAATTTGGAGAAGCCTACACAAAAGTCTGTATGTATTCCTGAAGGTAGTTTCATACCAATTTTCCACCACGTCCTCTGGCTGTTGGTAGCATTAATAAAGGGAGACATTGTCTGTTCTTGGGGCCTAAAAAATGTATTCCTCACCTACTAGCTTGAGGGCCAGTACTTATTATGGTGAGAAATATCTACTCAGCCACACCCCCTGCACGCTGAAGGAATAAAGCAGTTGTTCTGTGTGTTTAACTAAAGTATTGTCAATCAATTTCCCATTTAATCAGTTTATTAAACATGTAAGTAACTCCTGTGGTTCCCTCACTATTGTCCTAGCTTTTTCTCCATTCACTCCCCTTTTTCTTGTTTTTCTTTCAAGGAATAGATCATCTTTTCTCTCAGGTGTTTGTTTCCACTCGTTTCTTAACCCTTTTATACCCCGCCTTCCCTCATTACCCCCATAGTCTTTCTCTGACATGCACAGTCCTCCCCTCTCTCATATGAATATATATATCCTGTTTCTTAATCAAAATACCCTGCTTCCTGGGAGAGATTTTCAAAGAAACACAGGGGAGTTAGGTACCTAACTGCCATTGACTTTTCATGGGAGTTGGGCACCTCACTTCTTTATGCCTTTGAAAATTCTCTCACCCCCATCCATACAATATCTCTCTTTGTGCCCATTCCACGCACACCCTCACCTACTCAGTGTCTCATCTATCCGTCTCTGACACAGGGCTTGAAAAATGTAACATAGCTAGCAGCCAGAGGGCTAAACTGTGATAAGAGGCCCCACTGAGTAGGTAGCCATGTGCATAGGCACTGACTCCAGGAGTGCTCTGGGGTTCAAGTACCAACTACAAAAAAAAAAAAAAAAAAGTGGATGCTCAGCACTCACCAGCCACAGCTATTTGGAAGATGAGGGAGGTGCTTGGGGGAGGGAGGAGAGCAGCGAACAGCAGGCGAGGCGGAAGGGTTGGAGTGGGGCAGGAAGAGGCCAAGTGAGGGCAGGGGCCTTGTGGGAAGGAGCAGAGCTGGAATGGGGCCTCAGGGCAGAGCAGGCGTGGAGCACCCCCTGGGAAAAATAAAACTCCGTGCCTATGGCCTCTGCATTTCCTCTCACTACTACTCATGCAGTAGCTTGCATAAATGTCAGTGGTGGAGCTGTGCAGAATTTGGCAGCTGTGTTTTACTAACCAGCTTGATGAGAAAAAAATGGATATCTGAATGTAAATTCATTTTTGCTACCTACAACACTTATTCACTTCAGGAGAATGTTTGTATGAATGTTGCAAAAGAACATTAGAAGGAAGAAGAGAAACTTGCAGTCTCATGCCAATTGTGAAGGGGAAACGCCCACCATACATTGTAGAATTTCACTGAATTTGCTTAGTGTATCAGTCACACTTTGAGCTCTAAGGGACTGGATAATTTTATGACCAACAATTGAAGTCAGTCACAGATTTAGGTAAGGACTGGTTTATTGGCAGGTTTGCATATTCATATGGAGTAATTAAAGATCAATACATGGGTTGTAAGCTGATTTCTGCACACGTTACGATGGAAGTGGTTCCCCCATGTATCCCATTGTACAGTCAGCCAAGTTTGTTGTGTTTCCCAACCCCCTTTTCTGTGAATCATCAAGTATTGGCCAGAACTGGAGGTGGAAACTGAACTTGTTAACCAAATATGCTGATTTGGTGTGACAAATCTTTTGTTTCTCTTTCTAGAGATACTTGCAATATGGAACAGCAAAAGATGAGTTTTTCTGGGTAGATTGCATAAATGTGCCCCGTTTACACATGGCAGCACTCACCTGATGTATATTTCCCACTCCCAAAGTTCTTTTCTGATGCTATTCCACTTCCTCTCCCAGCAGTTCTTAGTGAGATTAATAAATATGTTTTGGAGACTATTGAGTCATCTGGGAGAGGAAGTGGAATAGCATCAGAAAAGAACTTTGGGAGTGGGAAATACACATCTTGTGAGTGCTGCCATGAGGCTGGTTCCTGAGCTTTGCACTCTAAGCTGCCACAAGCGACTAAACTTTATTTTTCCTGTGACCCAGTCACTAAGGCTTGTAACAATCTGAGATGACAAAAGGATGTGGTCTGCCTTGAGATTCTTCCTGCTGACCCCTATCACCATCACCAAGACCTGTCAGGAACAGAACATTGAGCCTGATAACAAAACAAAATGTAACCTAGGAATCTTCATTGGTAATCGCTACTATGCTAAAATGAGTTTCTATAGCAACGGGGGGGGTGAAATTATGAAGCAAATTGTTATTCTATGCCTGATTAGGAGAGCTAATAATTAATTATATCAAAAAGGCTGGGGTGTTTAATGCCTATTTTGCTTTAGTCTTCACTAAAAAGGTTAATGGTCACAAGATACTCAACACAGTATGAACAAGGGGAAAGGGATGCAGGTAAAGTTAGGGAAAGAACAAGTTAAAGAATATGTGGCCTGGTGAAATTCACCTTAGGGCACTTAAGGAATTAGTTGAAACAATCTCAGAACTGTTAGCAATTATCTTCGAGAACTCCTGAAGGACGGGTGAGGTCCCAGAGGACAGGAGAAGGGCAAACATAGTATCTGCTTTTAAAAAGGAGAACAAAGAGGATGCAGGGAATTATAGACTAGTCAGCCTAACTTAGATATCTGGAAAGATACTGGAACAAATTATTTAACAATCAGTTTGTAAGTACCTAGAGGATAATAGTGTTATAAGGAATAGATTTGTCAAGAACAAATCATGCCAAACCTACCTAAGTTCTTTGTTAGGGTTACTGACCTAGTAGATGGGGAGAAACAGTAGACGTGATATATCTTGATTTTTTAGTAAGGATTTTGACACAGTCTCACATGACATTCTCATAAGCAAACTAGGGAAATGTGATCTAGATTAAATTATTGTAAAGTGGGTGATAAATTGGTTGAAAGACATACTCAAAGAGTCAAAAAGAAAAGAGTACTTGTGGCACCTTAGAGACTAAACCAATTTATTTGAGTATAAGCTTTCGTGAGCTACAGCTCACTTCATCGGATTCATCTGTAGCTCACGAAAGCTTATGCTCAAATAAATTGGTTAGTCTCTATGGTGCCACAAGTACTCCTTTTCTTTTTGTGAATACAGACTAACACGGCTGCTACTCAAAGAGTCGTTATCAATGGTTCACTGCCAAACTGGGAGGGTGTATCTAATGAGGTCCTGCACTGGGCATGTTTAATCTTGAGAAAAGAAGAGTGAGGAGGGCCTGAAAACAGTCTTCAAATATGTTAAGGGCTGTTATAAAGAGGATCGGGATCAAATGTTCTCCATGACCATCGCAGGTAGGACAAAAAGTAATGGGTTTAATCTGCAGTAAAGGAGATTTAGATATTAGGAAAAGCCTTCTAACTATAAGGATAAATAGGTTCTGGAATAAGCTTCCCACGGGAATCAATGCTCACAAACATGAGCCTCCCTATTCTGGCCCAGTGAGAATATGGGATCTGAGTGTGGGGATCGCAGCCTGATGTATACTTATTTGGTGTATTTTAATGTGTGCGCCTTTTTTTCTTTTTCTTAAATTGACTTTACTCTTTAATGTAGAAGTTGCATGTAATGGGATTTAAAAAGTGTAGTAACATGCATATAACTTTCTCCCTCCCTTTTTTAGGATGGTTATTTTTCCCACCGGCCAAAAGAGAAAATGCGAACAGACAGCAATAATGAAAACTCTGTACCCAAGGACTTTGAAAATATTGATAACAGTAACTTTGCTCCCAGGACTCAGCGGCAAAAATACCAGCCTGAACTGGTGAAGAAGCCTCTTAGCAAGCAGAAGGAGCACTTGAAAAAGAAACTAGAGCAAGAAGGAAAGGTGAAGGAGAACTCACTCCTGGGGAAGAACTCCAATGAAGTGCTTCAGTTCAGGCATCATGTTCTAAAGAACAGCAGCAGCAATTTGAAGGAGATTCACAAGTCTCCCCGACAGCCTCATTTAAAAAGGAGTGGGAATAACTCCCCTGAAATAAGATATGACCAGCCACCAAAATGTGAAATATCGGGCAAGGAGGCAATCTCAGCTCTGTCTCGGTCCAAATCCAAGCACTGTCGGCGGGAGATTGCAGAGATATACTGTCAACACAAGCAAGGAAAGCTGATGCCTGAGAAGGTGGTGCGTTTGTGTCCCCTGGATGGTAAGTCAATAGATGCGAGAGTGGAATACGCTACAACACTACATGGGGAGGGGGGAACTTTATGCAATAACAGCCGCTTGACTCTGATCCAGTACAATAAAAATCAACATTATGCAGTAAAGTATAACGTTACTTTTCTGGTTTGTGCCAAACAGCGAGTATCTAACAGAGATACTCTGTCTTTAACAGAGAACTGTGCAGAGAACACAAAATTTTTGTGAAGCTTATTCTGAATGTTCTGCTTCAGTTTTCTTCCATTAGATTTTTCCCATGCAATTTTAACCAGTTTTCAAATGACGATGCTGATTCTTTTAGGCAGTAGCAGTTGCAGTGTTTCCCTTTAAAGTTAGAGGCATATTCGAGAGTGGATGTTCATTCATTCCATCTCATTATTCAGCAAAGGAGATGTATGTATGTTGGAAACATGGAGCCAACCACAGTGAACATTGGCACCTTGTGCCTGCCAACAAATGGGCAGCATTGCTGTCTCCTGCCAGGGAACAGAGAGCTGTTGGATGGAAGCTGTTAATCTGGAGGCAGGAAAAGTAGGGTAAATAAGATAGTAAACAAAGTAATTTGTGGCTCAGTTCTGTTTTTAGTGAAGTCTTAGTGCAACAAATGTGGTTTTCAAAGCTTATTAGTTCCGAGTTTCAAATCCAAACCTGTAGCCGAAGACAAGGCTGTTTTATTGAGTTTTTTAAATGTGGGATCAGATTTGTGGCTTATTGCACAAGGCTTTCTTTTGGTGTGTGTGTGCTGACCTTCTTACACCCTTCAGGAAGAGCTCTCATTTCACCATTTATTTAACTATGAACTATCCATAGCTTAAAATGCATTCCTTTACTGCTGAATAGCTTGTGAGTGTGAAAGATTACTATTTGTGGTATTTCTACAGCACTGCTAAGGCTCCAGTCCCGCAATCAGCACTTCCATGCTTGCACAGGGTTAAGCACATGCTTAAGTTCTTTGCTGGATCAGAGCCTAAAGTGTACTTGGTGTTTTATAAACAAATGAGGAAAGGCCTGAAGAGGTACAAAGGGAGGGGTGCAACTAAATCAAGTCTGGTGAATGAGATCTTTCACTCTGTGTCTGTGGTTCCACTTCTTCAATATTGGTTTCACAAGTGTTTGTGAGAGTTTTTTATAATTACTCTCTCATGTTTGGAGTCCCCATCATGCTCACACTAACACTCAGCATCACTTCTCTGAGTGGCAGAGAATAGGAAAACAGGAGACGGGTTAACAGACCTTGTGGAGGAATCAGATTTTAAGGAGGTATTTGGAGGAAAGAGTGGAGGCATGGCAGACCGGGTGAGAGAGGAAGGTAAAATCAAAAGATAAAGAGAGAAGAAGATCAAGCAGAACTCGACTTCAGTGGGAGGCTGAGTTATATTGAGCTCTCTCCCAAAATAGTTCAAGAAAGTGTCAGTAACGTATTCAGACTAAGGAATCTCTCAGCACACTGGTTACTAGTACTGTGTACCTGAGCCCTTTCCTGATAAATCATACCAAAAAATAAAATCTCAGATTCAGAAATTGTAGATTTACAGCAGATAGGGCTTGTCTACATGGACATTTAGTTTGTGGCAAGCTGGGATATGGCTCTACCCAACGATAACTTGCTACGGATTAACTGTCCACGTCGACTCTGCTGATGCACATTAACAGTTTGTTCATGCACTTTGTTATAGTTCTGTTTCAAAGAGGTCTAGATCAAAATGCATTAATGCACTGTTAGTGTGTGTCAGCAGGGTCCACCCAGATAGTTAGTCCGCAGCAGGCTAGTGCAGGGTAGATTCACACCTCAGCTTGCCACAAACTAAATGTTCGTGTAGACAAGCCCTTAGAAATGTACATGATCACCAATATAATGTGTCTCTGGGCATCTATATCACAGTCAGCAATAAAGTGTTAGGGTTACTCTGTTTGATGTATCTTCTGTTTGCTGGCCTAACTGTACCTGGGCCCCTGGGGCTGTTTTATGTAAAATAACAACAGTGAGATTGGTCATTGCAAATGTCTGTTGTTATCATTTCCTCCTTTTTGTCCTTTAAGATGCACAGTTTGGGTCTGGCCTTGTGAGATAGTTGAGGGGTCCAGCACCTTGCAACACACCCCTGTGGCTGCATCACTTGCCTGCTAATCTTTTCTCCTGGGACTTATTGTAACATGCCAAATCCCACCACAGCTTTAAACAGCCACCATTCTTAACATCAGCCTTCCCCAGAAATATTTCCTGATTCTGTCTTTAAATATGGAATTTCCCACAAGTACCTCTGTCCAAGGGTGTGGACAAGCACCTTTCAGTCCTGGGCCAATAATAATTTTCGATACTCAGTTGTCTCACAAATGGCAGCATATGACATAAAATTAAACCTTTTATTTATTATACAATATAGTAAATGATAGAGGCAAATTGACTGCTAAGTGAGGAGACTAGGAAATAAGTCACTAAGATTATGTCAGTTGGTAAGTCATTTGATCAGTTTTTATTTTAAAAATGTGTGTGAATTCAGTAACAGCTGAAGCATGTTCCTGGATATCTACCTGAAGAGATACCTCCCTCACCCCCAAAAAAATAAAAAACCCCAACAACCAACAGTTCCATAAATGAGATGTGCAGGATGTATATTAAAATATAAGGTGTAGACAGGTCATTGCTAGGAGTCTTCAGATTAGCAGGAATGTCCCTGGAGCTCCGTAAGATTTTTATTGTCAGCAGAGAGGCCCCTTTTTTGAGAATGCCTTTACTTAGGCAGATGGATCCTAGTAGAAAATGTTGACTTTTCTTTGCCTCAAGGTTATTCCTTCCTGCCACACTGACAGCTGAAGTTAACCGTTTCAAACGCTGCCAAATTCTCCTTCAGGTAGTGTTCTGTGTCGTCTCCCGTAGACACAAGGGTAGAAAGAGCAGGCTTGGCAGTTTTGCAGTGGGGAAGTGACAGAGCAGCAGCATAACAGATGAAATGCCAGATGCTAATGCAGAAGGTACAAGCATACTGTGATGTAAGAATCTTCTTAGGAATGGCAAAATTCCTAGGCAGCTTCTCAGCTGGGAAGTCCCACCCCTTTCAGAAGAGGAATTTTAGGGGTCAAGGAAAGACATTAGGATTCAACAGCGTGGCCTCTCGATGCCCTACAGGAGGCTCTCAAAACACCTTGCAGGGAGTAGGTCCGACTTAGATGTTCAACCCTTTCTCGTTAAAAAGTGAGCCTGATTTTAAAAAAAAAAAAAAAAAAAAAGTTGTAGTCCCTTTGTATTTTACAGCTACATTTCTAAGATACTTATCCACAAAAACGTAACTGTGCTGTGATTTAGTAGGCCAGTTGGATCAGACGTTTCCTCCTTTTTATCCTAAACTGTATGTATTGTGCCCTGATAAACAACTGCGCCGTCCCTCAGAGGAGGTGGCTACGTGAACCCAATATGTTCCTTAAAGGGGTTTTAAGCTTAATTAGGGAACGTCTGTAGAGCACTAGCCTTAAGCGCTTGGAAGGAAAGCACTATAGTGCTGATATTCCTGATTCCTTGTGCATAGCTCTTAACGTTCTAAACATCAAGAAAGCTCTGCGCTGTGTGTCAGCACAAGTCAGACATTCTGGGGATCGATCTAAGTGTTCAGCGTGCCAAGTGATGTATTCTTATGTTTGCATATGAAAAAGATTTGTTATCTGTTTACAAGACAGCTGTGAACTTTAAATATTTATGCATTGGTCCTACTCATTCATTCGTTATCTCAATGTATAAACTTGTTTAAGAGCTATGGGTTCCATTGAGATGTCATCTGGAGTGCAATTCCCTAGGATCCATTCACAGATGCATAGCTGTTCAAAGCTGCAGAATAGTTAAATGTGTTCATCAATCGTGGTATATGACTCCACTGAGCCAGACTGTCATAAATTCTAAGCAATACATTTACATCGGTGTTTGTCAAGAGGAGCAGTATTTTACAAACTTTTTTTTTCTTTGAAGTATTTTATTATGTCGAAAGGCAAGAGGTGTAGAAACTCAAATGGATTATGGAAAGGACTGTTTAAACCTACAGTGTCATCCATTGCTACTTCTCTGAAATGAATATGTTTGTTCCATGAGAACCAGAAGAGAGAAGCTCCATTCCAGCTGTGTACTGTACACTGAGAGTATGATTGAAGCAGCAAAATAGAATATGAGACTTTACATGTCACCTGAATTGTTTAGCACTGTTAATATGCGTAGTTCTTTACAAATAGACACTGTCCCTCGCTCAAAGAGTACGAGGAACGATGACAAACCTGGGGTGGGGAGGGGGATGTCAGAGGCTTCAGCTATAATATTATGCTGTTGTGGAGGTCAGCGTAGCAGGCAGCTTGAGGGGCACACTGCTTTGGTTTCTATGCACTTTACTTTGAGGGGAATGTTTAGAATTTATAGGAGTGTGTTTTGAACAGGAACTTGAAGGAGGAGAGGGTGGAAGAGTAGCAGGTGAAGTCTGGAAAGATGGATGAAGATACAAGGGGTGACATGGATGAATGGGCAAATCTAGCGCTGTACTAATTACAAAAGGGAATCAGGAAAATTGCCTTTTTGGTAACCAGGAAGATTGTCTTTTTGGTGGGGCTGGCATGACAGTTTAGTTTACTCTTCAGTAGGGGCAAGATGCAGAAGCCTGCCTCCTCGCTGTGGCCACCCGTACCTCTGTGCTGTGTGCCACCGCAGGCTACCACTCCACTACCAGTAGTTGTTCAAAGCCTTGTTTCTGGTTATCAAAACCATTGCTGGGTCAGGGCCCAGCTATGTCACTGAGTGTACCCCCATCTGAAACCCACCAAGACAGCTGCACGTCTCTGAGACAGCACATCGAAAGCCTGGATGAAGCCAGTGAAAGTTGGAGATAGAGAGCTCCTGGCTGTGGAACAAGTTTGGAGAGGAGGCCAGACTGAGAGATTGTACACTGTAAAACTCTCCTCTTTGACAAAGCTAGTCAAAGAGAGCTTACAGCGGCACAGCTGTACCAATGTAGC